ATAGAATGATCGTGTTGAAGAAGAAAGGCTCACCCCCTTTATATAGGGGTGAGATACCTGACCTAGGGCTGCCCGGATTTGATGAGCTGTCTGCCCTAGCTGCCCGTCCGTACACACCAAACGCGTGTGTCAGAGGCGGCCGTCTCCACTATCGCCTGCACCAATCCTCTTTGGACGCGTGTCCTCCGGCACATGGGGTAGGCTGTCAGAGGTGGTTATCACTATCCACCACTGCTTTCTCGACACGTGTCCCCCTGCACATGGGGTAAATATTCTCCTGGAATTCTGTCAGAGGCTTCTTTCACGCGCCTATGACTAGGCCGAACAGCGTGGTGTTAAGTCCTCGGAGTAATCGACCTGTTGAGGTCGAATAAGTTGCTCGATCGCGTATCTGGTCGAAGGATAGTTTGGTCGACAGCCTTGCTTGGTCGACTAGTTAATTGCTCGATTTCTTTGGCTTCCTCATAATATGACCTCCTCGACCGGTCAACAGACCGGCTCAGCCTCGTGGGTATAATATCCCATATCCAACATTCTTATCCTAGCAATAAAATTGTTGAAATCCTCATAGCTTCTCTGAGATCTCACTTTCCCTCCTCTTTTTTCAGAATCCCCACAGACTTCATTCCAATCTCCCCCTATACACCATTTATCACCCCACAGATGTTGAGTCCTCTCCAGCTCCTGCCACTGCAAGATTCTCACCTGACTGTCAGTACTAGCATAGATAAAAATTAACCATTCATTGTGAACTGAGTTAGAAAGATTGTATTCCACTTGCAGACAAAATTGAAGATTTATAATCTGCACAATGCACACTTCCCTACACCACATCAAAAGCAAACCCCCACTCAGACTTACTGGTTCCACTATAAAACTTCTCTCAGCAAACCTGAGCTTCTTGCAAACAGTGTCAGTAAAAAACTTGTTCTTTCTAGTTTCTGATAAGAAAACAAAACTGGGGAGGTGGATCCTTATGGCATCCTTCAGCTGGGAAACTGTAGAGGGTCCTCCTAGACCTCTACAGTTTCACCAGATTGTCTTTATTTATCACTTTGGGGCCATTCAAGGCTAACTACCCCCACCTGTTGAGTTTGATTGTCCATCACCTTCCTAGTTTTCCTATTCACTTTTTCAGATTGCTTTTCCACTTGAGAATTGATTTGAGAGAGAGCTGGTCTACCTCTCTTCTCCAGAGTTTGATTTACTTTTAGAGCTTGACTCTCCATAGCTCTCTGCAACCTCCCTGATTCTGTCTTCTTCTTCTTCCAGGTTGAAGTATTTGCTCTCAGGTTGTATTGCTCAATCTCCAGATTTGGTTAAGCATTTCCTTTTTCTTTCCCTTTTGTCAACTGTCCTTTAGGCTTCTCCTGTTTATGAGCACTCCTCTATCTTCCACCTCCACTGGTTGGATCCACAGACTCATATATTGATCTTCATCCTGACTCATAGGTATATGATTATGATCATTTAGCTAAGAATTAATCACCAAGGCTGCTGATATATTATCCTTAGGGAGATTACATTGGGTTGGATCTTCAATAGCTTTTCCCTGTTCCGTCTCACCATTTGTGTTCTCCTCTGGGTTAGTATTAGAAGGCTCCCCCTGGTTCTCCAAATTACTGTTAATATGAGAGGGATTAGAGTTTTGAGGAGACCCTCCCATCCTACCAGTCTACATGGCTTTCAACCATTCACCAAACTGGCCAACTTTCTGTTTACCTTCCTCAATATCCTTAGATCTAGTAGAACATGCCCTTTCCAGATGCCCCACCATCTCACAGTAGAAACAGCAGCTAAGTAACTTCTCATACTGGAAGGTAACACCCAATCTATGTTCTCCGAGTCTTATATGAGCACATCTGAGGATTGGTTCTGCCACATCATGAGAAACTAACAGCATAAGGTAGCTGCCTTGAACTCCACCTGACTTCACCAAAATAACATTTTTTATTTTCTTAAACAATCTTCCGATCTTCCTGCCCACCTCTACACTCAGCCAATTTACTGGTAGTTTGTGGACTTGCACCCTGTTCGTCCCATTTTTGTTGCGTTTTTCGTGATTATTTTTCTTTTCTTTTTCCCCATTTTATGTTTTTTTCCCTTAGTTTTGGTCCGTTTTATTTCGTGTCGTGTGTTTTCATTTATTTAGAGTCTATTTATTTTTTCGGTTATTCTCTTCGTTTTCTCCGTTTTCGTTTTCGTCTTATGGTGTGTAGGTTAGGTGCCTCAGTCGATTTCGCAATCATAGCTTTGTAGAGCAATGTGTTGGTGACGAGCAAGAAAAAATCAAAATTCATTTATGAAGTCGATGAGTTCTAACGGGGCCGAGACACAAAGTCGAACATGCTACCCGAGTAGTTTCCCGGACCGTTCCGACAGCAGCTGCATATTCACCACGTCTCGCCACCTTCCTCTCCATGCCGCTGCACACTTCTCCACGTCGCATCCAACCTCACGCCGAGAAACCGTGCAGCCACTCCCTGTACAGCACCACGAGCGAGCAAGTGAGATCCACAGCCCTCCAACTGCCACGAGAAGCTTTGCCGGTGTCCATTCACTACTTGTCTTCACAATACCATGCGCGAGTCACCACCGTTACCCTGCTGCCATGCCATGAAGAACCCAGCTGCCGCGCCGCTAAGAGAATACCTGTCATGCCGTGGAGCTGCGTCGTGCCGCGAGGAGTAATGGACTGTGAACAGCCGTCGCGCCGTGGAGCTGCGTCGCGCCGCGAGGAAGCACCCTGTCACGCCGTGGAGCTGCGCGCCGTGAGAATTCCGCCACATCGTCGCGCGCCCAGAAATCCTTGGCCGCGGCCGCGACTTCTCCTCCCGCGGCCACGACGAACAACAACAGGTCCCTAGTGCCAACCTTCTGCAGCAAAAAGTCGCGGCCTCGGAGAATCTCGCGGCCACGAAACCTTCTTCACCGCGGCCCGCGAGCTTTCCCGCGGCCGCGAGTTGCGCGATGACAGATTTTTAAATCTGTTTTTTATGAATTGTCGGATCATTATTCTCTTGCCTATGTTTTAATTTCCTCGTTCTTCTCTCTTTGAAAAATTGGTTTTTCTTTCTCTTTTCGTATTTTTGCACGTAGAACTCGGATTTGAACGCGGATTTCGTCGTTGTTTTTGGGATCAATCGTGTTTATCGAATTCAACTGTGATAATTATCAATCGTAAGATTTCTTTTATCTCAATCATTAATTATGAATTCTTGGGTTGCGATGATTATTTTTGTTGATTGTTCGATTATGAGTAGCTAAATCCCTTCATTAGGGAATAGGGGATTGAGGTTTTGATTTCTGTTTGGTTGCGGGAGCTTGTTGATTGTTCGTTTCATACGAGTTGAACTTTTAAAAGGGATTTTTAATTATCGTTCTTGAATATTGAGAATTGTCGAAGGGTGACACTTCGACGTGCAATTGTTTTCGATTTATTCGAGTTTGATGTTGGTGATTTTGTTTGACTAGTCGGTTAACCACCCTCTAGTTTACTTTAATCGACTCTTAGAAATGAAAGGGGAGGAGTCGGTCGAAATAAACTCGTATGAACTAGGCTTGTTCATAACTGTATTGCCTAGAAGTTAAATGAATCGTTAATTTGTCATTCTAGTTTGTTCTCTTGTTACGAAAAGTTATTGAGAACGAGTACTTGAACGTGTCGTTATTCAAATCAATTAGCTGAACAATCACTTGCCCATCAATTGCATTTTCGAACCAAAACGGATATCCCCGACTCCCTAGCTCGTTAAATCCTATTTGTTCTCGTCTCCGCGTGCTATTTGTACTTCTTTTTTTGAATTCTCGTGCTAGTAGATAATTAAACCAAACCCAATCATTTAAAATAGTATGTTTAGGTATTTTATTCTTTTTCGTGATTGAATAAACGTACAATATATTCCGGCTAACCTTCCTCGTGAGGCACGACCCGGTGTTCGAATCTTTCGATTCTACTCCGGAAAATATTTACAGCACACCCATAGAGAGATTTCATTAAAACCTATCTTGTGAGGTCAGGCCTTCCCTCCAGTCTTGTAGCACCAAATACTGGTTCTCAAAAACCCAGTTAATCCCACCTAAAACCTTTTCTTTATCCTCTTTGCATCCAAAACTAAATAGGAAGAAAATTGGATCCCACCTCCTTAACCTCAAGCGCCATCGATGTTTGCCAGACCAAACCCATGAGCCCCTTCAGCCCAAATATGATAGCTTTACGATCACTGATTATCTTACCCAGTACACTACTGCGGCATTCTACGTCACTCAATTTAACATCTTCAGTGTCTAGCTCCACATCACGACTCTCCTTTGTTAAAAATTTCAATTATTTTTAACTCAACCACTTTTTTAACTCAACTTTAACTCAACCCACTATTATCAATATTATCAATATAATTAAATAATATCAATCAATCATTCTTACCCAAAACATCAACCTTAATTTACTATTCATCTACTCACATAAATTTAACTAACTATCACATCACATCTTCTCTCTCTTACTTTTACATCAATTTATTTTTAATCATTTTATTTTAAATATTATTTTATTATATTCACTAACAACTAACCATACCTACTTTTTTAAATTTAACCAACTCAAATAAAAATCCAATCAAAACAAAAACAAATTTATATCAAGCATACTCTGAAATTTTTATATATTAATGGATTTTTGTGCACTGAAAACAAATAAGTGGGAGTTAAATGCAAGGTGCTAATAGGGTCCAGCGGTCAATTCACACGTTAACGGTCGATCGACCCCACGCTCCACTTGATTTTCCCCATTTTCATATTAATTGTAATATTTGGATTTCCTTCATAATAAATGAAAAAACCTCTGTTTAAAACCTCCCTCAAAGCCACTCTCTCGCTTTCCCATTTTCCACTCTCTCTCAGTTGCTTCTGCTTCTGCTGCTGCTGCATTTATTTATGCCTTAGCCATTTTCCCAATCACACGCCGTACGAAGTTTCACCCAACTATCTCGCCGGCAGCAATGGCCGATTCCTCGATTTTCACGACGAGGACTCCTATTCTCAATCAGAGGCTATACGTGGTCATCTTTGCGACCGTCTTCCTCGTACTCGTCGCTTTCCTTGTGATTCTTTTGTTCTTCCGTAGCCGGAGATCCAAACGGCGCCGCATTGCCGTCAGGCAAACCTCTGGACTTCTGCCGCTTGTCGGCGGGGAGATCGGAGAGGTTAAGCCGTCGGATCGAAGTGAAGGAATCCACGATAAAGGTGGAGACTTTCTGATCGGTGACATGGGGAAGGAGCTGGAATTTAAGTCGGACAGCAAGAAGGGGAGCTCGGAGTCGAGCACGAGCAGGAGCGAGACCTCTTCGGCGTCCACCGCCGACGGCGTGGGAAACTTCACTTGGGGGAGGTGGTACAGCTTGACTGAGCTCCAAATCGCGACGAATCAGTTCTCAAGAGATAACGTGATTGGAGAAGGAGGCTATGGTATTGTTTATCGTGGGGTTCTCAGCGATGGTTCTGTGGTCGCCGTAAAAAATCTTCTCAACAGCAAGTAAGTGCATCGAATATATAACCTCAGCCCATTACACAGTCTTAGAATTTTGGAAATAACAAGATTTAAATAAAGTTAGCATCAATAATTCTTCATTTCACTTGCCACTTCTTGTAGAATCAATTCTGTTGTGCAAATGACTTTCGCTTCCATATCTCAGTTATGGCCATATCTTTGTTTAGTTCCATGATGTTGGATTGCAATATTGTGAAGTCATATGTATTTTACGGAGTTGGTTTCTCTCAAGAACAGAAAATGGAATCAAAAGCTTCGATCTGGATACAGTGATAAGGATTGTTGACTGGTCTTTTTGTCTCTTTTGACTAGGGATTAAGGAAAGAAAACAAAGTAAGCGGTCGCTTTTGTTTCTTTTATTATCTTCTCCCTCTTCTACAGGGTGAGCTTTGAAATCATCTTTTTACCTTTAATTACTTTCAGTTTAGCTGTTGCAATATCATTAGGTTTCTTTATCCTGACTAGTTCAACTTTATCATTTTCCTTTGGCAGTTTAGGTGTCCTTTTCCTTTTCCTCTTTGACCCCTTACTCTTGGTTCTTGGTTCAGTGTAGTTTAATGTGCTTAATGCTGATTCAGGAAAATTAGGTAGTAAAAGAAAAGCATGAAGTAGTGAATGTATATGAGGCCTTTTCGTGCTGTAGCATCTCTACATTAAACTAGGTGGACCACTTTTTTACGCGAGTGAATATTATCATCTTATTTCAGTTTCAATCCCCAATATTGTATTCTAGTGGTATCAACTGCGTTGTGGATCATACTGATGGGCTGATAGGTGAAATCGAAATATTTATGCCAACATCAGAAGCTCCTTCTTGCCTTTCTAAAACAAGCAGACATAGTCAGATGTAACTTTTGATTACGGTTATTACTTGCCCCCACATAATATGAAACAACTTTAATGCCTTGTATCCACCCTGGTCAACAGGGGTCAAGCAGAGAAGGAATTTAAGGTCGAGGTTGAAGCCATTGGAAAAGTTAAACACAAGAACCTGGTGGGTCTTGTAGGTTACTGTGCAGAAGGAGCGCAACGGTACATTCATATGGCTTCTTAATGTTGTTTTAATGTTTTCCTTTTCTTTTTACCGCTTATTAATTATTGCTTAATTCATGCTTCATAAGGTTGCTTGTGTATGAGTACATGGATAATGGGAATTTGGAGCAGTGGTTGCATGGTGATGTGGGACCTGTGAGTCCTTTGACTTGGAACATCCGCATGAAAATTGCAACTGGGACGGCTAGAGGGTGAGGCTTTTCTGCTCTGTTGTAGTACAATGGCATTAATACTTCACATTGTCTACGTGTTTGTTTTGTGAAGATGTATTGTTAAAAGTATTCTCAGGCAGTTTATAGGTTGGTTATGGCAGTAATTATGTCTCTTCGATGTCCATAGCGCTTGCATTTATAGATTTAAAAGTCTTTCTTTCTCTGCCGGAATCCTTGTGAATTAATGTATTGTGGGTTGTTCGGTTATGCTCCAGTTGTCAATAGCTTTAAGTGGTTGTATGTATAATAACAAATCGAATGTCTTTGTTTCAAAATATTAGCTTAAACAACATAATGGGGGCTATTTGATTTCATGATATTTGTACGAAAGTTATAAGATTGAAGAATATGAACACATTCAAAATGATCTGGTTATGATACTTGTGCTTTTATTCATTGTGATAAGAGTGCAGAACCTCGTATACATCTATGTTCTGCATAATGCTTTTCTAAACCGTCATTCAGTCTTGTCAACACAGGCATTCATCCTTTTAATCTATTATGTTATATTGATCTATAAAATTCTAAATGTTGTCAGACTTGCGTACTTGCATGAAGGGTTAGAACCTAAAGTTGTTCATCGTGATGTGAAGTCCAGCAACATACTATTAGACAGGAAATGGAACGCCAAAGTATCGGATTTTGGACTCGCCAAATTACTGGGATCTGAGAAAAGTTATGTTACTACTCGAGTGATGGGCACATTTGGGTTCGTTCTGTTCTGACCTCTGCTTAACTTTCAATTGAAGCACAACATTTATATTTGTCTTTAGTCCTCATCATTGATTGCTTATGTACCACAGTTATGTCTCCCCTGACTATGCAAGCACTGGTATGCTTAATGAGGGAAATGATGTGTACAGCTTTGGGGTTCTACTCATGGAATTAATAACTGGAAGGAGCCCAGTTGACTACTCCAAACCACCTGGAGAGGTGAACGTAATTTCCAGATGAACTAGTTATCCCTTATCAGTATTAAAGAAAAGCTACAAATAATGATTCCAGGAATTAATCTAATGACGAAAAAAAACAGAAAAAAAAAAAAAAAACTCCAAATTTTTTAAGATAAAACAGAGACCTCAAATGATGTCACAAACTTATCGGTTAAATGCTTACTAAAAACAATGGTCCAAGGGTATTGTTATCTTTGAAGATAATTCATTATCTCTTGTTTAATAGCTCAACTTTGAGGTAGCTCTTGTAATTTTCCCCAGAACAATTCCTCCAGCTTATCTTTTATCCTGAAGGATGCATACCTACAATTCAATCATCAGTAATCACTTTTGACCCTTCTCCCAATTTCAGATGAACTTAGTTGATTGGTTCAAAGGAATGGTCGCATGTCGACGTGGGGAAGAGGTTGTGGACCCGTTGATAGACGTTCCTCCCCCATCAAGAAGTTTGAAGAGAATATTGTTGCTTTGCCTTCGATGTATTGATTTGGATGCCAATAAACGTCCGAAGATGGGACAGATTGTTCACATGCTTGAGGCAGATGAATTTCCTTACCGTAGTATGGTAAGCAGTTTGCCACTCTTTGCGCTTTGTCTTGCAATGTAGTGCAATTTGTTTCTCATATTAATGAATAGTGCAATTTGTTTCATTTATTTAACTCTCTGGGAAGTTTCCGTGTGTCGTATACTTGAACAGAAGAATAGCTTAACTAAATATAGGGGTTTTTTTAGCTCAAATATGGTTATTTTATAGAGGTTAAATAGTCTGACTAGAAAAAAGGTCCATGATTCAAAATTGTGAATGTCCAGTTTACATTTATTTCTAATTTGATATCGCACCTTAAATGGGGTATTAGTTAGGTTACTGATCCCGGAGAGGAAGTTGGTAGTTTGTGAGGAGCTGTTGAAAGATAAATAGAGCTTTGCATGATTACGCTAAATTTTCGAGGTGGCTTCTGTAATTAAACCATTGTTTAATTATACAACCACGCTTTCCACACCATACTTGCTGTCCAAGGCAACACGAACATGGAAGTTGCACAATGATAGATTTTTTTTTAAGCTAATTTCTGGGTACCCTTTTTGCAGTAATTAACTGCTTTACACATTGCAGGAACCTCGCTCTGCTCGAGAAATGGCTTCTTTTCGTCCTGAAGCTTTTGGCAACAATGAGAATGAATCATCAAAAATGAAAGAAGTGGATGGTGGTGAAGGAAAATTTAGGTGGAGGTGATTAACTTTAATGAGGGAAAAAAAGGTATACTACGTTCTATTGTCAATACTTACTGAGTAGTATATGCTGTGTTTGTATGGCTGAGCTTTCCTTGTACAAGGATATCTTATACTTTTGGTTATCATGCATACTTTAAGCATAGCTGTTGTTTTGTAAATATATTTAGCTGTAATATGTTGTTCTTGCTGGACAAATTTTCTCAGTTTATTTGCCCTCATTGTATTCTAGTAGTTCTGGTGGAGAAAAAACTAAAGGCTCAAGTTTGAACACCATAAACACCAAGCCGTTTACGATGATGTACTTGGGATTCCTATTTCCTTGTCTAAAACACTTGATGACTAAATTAAAATCGTGTTGTCTTTGGTCCCAAATGAGTAAAGCTGTTTGCAGGCCTATTTTGATACGAACAAAAGGCAGCCGAGCCCGGCACACCGACCTCAGCGTCAACGGCGAGCTCCCAGTTGGCAACGTGATTACTATATGATGAAGGATTGAAGTGGCTCGGATCGTATTTTAATGTTAGGCTTGTTATTTATTTATTTTCCTCTTGATGGTATTATATTATTTCCATAGGTGTGAGTTCTTCGAAGTTAGGTATCTTTGATATTCTTAGGGTTAGATATAAATATGTTGCTATCTCATTATTTTGGGACATAAGAAATATATATGAAAAAGAGTTTCGACTCAAGGAGTTAGCGTTTGCTCGAAGTAACGCACATCTTGAATACAAGATCGTATCAATTGGTGCTCTCGTTGAGAGATGATGAAGACGGACAACAAGATGGACGATCTCACGCTCAAGCAACTTCAAGAGAGATTTGACAGACAAACTTTGACGCAACAACAAAAAAATCAGAGTGTGCATGAATCGATTGAAGAACTTAAATCGATGATGCAAAATCTCTCGAAGCAGTTGGTGGGAGGAAGTACAGGAGGGTCCTTTGAGAGGATCACAACTCCTCCATATCGTCATCCAATTATGAAGTTGGATTTACCTCGATTTGAGGGAACTGATCCTGATGGGTGGATTTTTAGGGTGCAAGAATATTTTAATTACCATGAGACTCCTGATGATTAACAAATTCGTATTGTTGCTTTCACGATGGAGGGAAAGGCATCGGAGTGGTACCAGTGGGCGAAGGGCAGCAATATCTTGTGTTCGTGGAGCGAGCTCTTACGACAAGTTAGAATTTGATTCGGGCCCTCCCAATTTGAAGATTATGTGGGAAAATTATCTAAATTGACGCAACAAGGCATGACGGAGGATTACCAGGCTGAATTTGAATGCCTAATGAACAAAGTGACATCGATTAGCGGACCTGTGTTGATTTCGGTGTTCATAGCTGGCCTAAAAGCTGATATTCAACGTGAGTTGCTTATTTCCATGCCCAAAACATTGGTGGAAGCTTTTGCACTAGCGAGGGTTTATGAATCGAGGTACGCAGAGGCTACACCCAAGTACCGGGTAGCGAACCGATGGGGTGGTATTACAAACACAACACTTGATTCGGGGGGCACAAGAAACACACAAGCTGGAACACCAACCATAACAGGTAAAGTGGCTGGGATCACAACCCAGATTCGAAGTGATAGTGTTCAGGTGGTGAAAGGGTCCAAAGGGTCCATTCCAGTCAAGAATATTAGTCGGGCTGAGATGAAGGAGCGACGACTCAAGGGCTTGTGCTATAATTGTGATGATAAGTGGTCTCCGTCCCATAAATGCGCTAATTTGTTCTTGATATACGTAGGATCAGATGAGGACTTGGAAGAAATTCCCGAGCCTTTAGAAGAGGAAGAGTTGACTATCCAAGGCGATGCTTCTAGTCTCAATGCATTAGCGGGCTCGGATAGGCCTCGATCGTTGCGAGTATGGGGAAGAATTAACGAGAAGCGTGTCCACGTGTTGATAGACAGCGGGAGTACACATAACTTCATTCGGCCTGAAGTTGCAGAACGCTTGAGGTTACCGGTGGAACCTATAGCACCTTTTAAGGTTTATGTGGGGAGTGGCGACTCACTAGTTTGCCGAAATCGAAGTCTAGAGTTAGCTCTAGAGATGCAGGGGACGAGTTTCGAAGTCCCACTTTATGTATTACCTATTCAAGGGCCCGAAATTGTCCTGGGGATGCCATGGCTTCGTGAATTAAGAAGGGTTGTTCATGACTATAAACAATTAACCATGGAATTTGAATGGAACGGTAACAGGGTAAATTTGCAAGGAGTTGAAGGAATGGAGCCGAGGCAAATTTCTTACAATCGGTTGTGTGCATTAATGGAGACTGATACAGTACACGAAATTTATGAGATCATTGAAGTCCCAAAAATTCCCGAGCAAATGAATGATCGAGAACCAGCAGACCCTTTAGCAGGAATGCCTGGGAGTTTTCGAGAACTCTTGAAGGAGTACGAGGGAATTTTTGGCGAACCAGATGGGTTACCGCCTCGACGGATATTTGATCATCGCATTCATCTACAGCCAGGATCGCGGCCTGTCAACGTTCGACCATATCGATATCCCTACTTTCAAAAAGACGAGATTGAGAAGTTGGTGAAAGAGATGTTAAATCAAGGGATAATAAGGAGTCATAGCCCGTTCTCATCGCCTGTGCTTTTGGTCATGAAAAAAGATCGTACCTACAGGTTTTGTGTCGACTACAGAGCTTTGAATTCACTTACCGTAAAGGATAAATTTCCAATCCCTACGGCTGATGAATTGTTTGATGAGTTAGGAAAGGCTCGATACTTTTCTAAGTTAGACTTGCGAGCAGGTTACCATCAAATCCGAGTTCATGAAAAGGACATCTATAAGACATCTTTTCGCACTCATGAAGGGCACTATGAGTTTCTCGTGATGTCGTTCGGACTTACCAATGCCCCATCAACGTTTCAGGTTGTCATGAACTACTTGGCGGATTATTTACGAAAATTTGTTGTCGTTTTCTTTGATGACATTTTAATTTATAGTCCGTCGATCGAGGATCATCTATCACAATTGGCAGTTGTTCTCAAGTGTTTACAGACTAATAATATTTTTGTTAGACTGAAAAAATGCCAATTTTGTAAAACTCAAATTGAATATCTCGGTCACATAACTCAGGCAGGTGGAATTCAGGTAGATGATCGCAAAATTGAGGTTATGGTGCAATGGCCTATTCCCAAGAACTTAAAGTAGTTGAGGGGGTTTCTCGGGCTTACTGGATATTACCGCCGATTTATAAAAGGATATGCGGGAATAGCAGCCCCTCTTACTAACTTACTTAAAAAAGATGCTTTTCAGTGGTCTACAGAAGCTGAATTGGCATTTAATCAGCTAAAAGGGATCATGACTCAGACACCTTTGTTGCGATTACCGGATTTTGAAGTGACTTTTGTTGTCGAGGCAGATGCTAGCGGAACAGGCATTGGAGCGGTGCTAATGCAACAAGGACAACCCATTGCATATTTCAGCAATAAATTAGCACCATGGGTCAGAATAAGTTCCACATATAATAGGGAGTTACACGCGATTGCGGAGGCTTTACAGAAGTGGAGGCAATATCTTTTAGGTCGACACTTTGTGATTAGGACTGATCAGAGAAGTATTAAAGAACTTCTTCTCCAGGTCGTGCACACACCGGAGCAGTAGGTACATATTAGGAAACTAATGGGATTTGATTTTGTCATCGAATATAAGGCCGGAGTGGAAAATAAAGCTGCAGATGCGTTATCTCGCCGAGATGAGGATCTAGGCGAAGATGATGGGAAAGTAGTCAATTGAAAATGTTGGATTCAGTCCCTATTAATCGAATTATTGAGGAGCTGGAACGAGAAAATAAAGAACTTTCTTCTATGATTCGTTTACACAAAGACTGGGAGAATGGAGCATTACCGGAGGATTGGATGGTGATGAATGGAAAATTGTTAAAAAAAGAGAGGCTTTATTTGAGTGAAGATTCAAAACTCAAGGATACGATCATGTTTGAGTGTCATTCTACTCCGCTGTCTGGGCACACGGGTGTCTCTCGAACCTTGGCTCGGGCGTCAGCTAACTTCTATTGGGATGGAATGCGGGGGGATATCCGTAGGTTCATTAGTTCTTGTCCGATATGTCAAAGTGTGAAGTCTATAAATAAGCCGCCGGCTGGACTATTGCAACCACTTTCAATTCCACAGAAGGTGTGGGATGATATTTCTATGGATTTTATCGTTGGTCTGCCAATCTCTAATGGTTGCACGTCCATTATGGTTGTGGTGGATAGACTCTCCAAGTTTGTTCATTTTGTCGGCTTACCCTCCCAATTCACAGCATCGAAAGTTGCGGAGGTTTTTGTGGAGGCTGTGGTTAAGTTGCATGGATTTCCGAAAACAATTGTAACTGATAGAGATCCAATTTTCATGAGCAAGTTTTGGACGGCTATGAGTGAATTAAGTGGTACAAAACTCCTCCACAGTACCGCATATCATCCACAAACGGACGGGCAAACGGAGGTGGTGAACCGTGTTTTGGAGCAATACCTTAGATGTTTTGTTAGTGAACGACCAAGGTCATGGCGCAAAATGTTGGCCTGGGCAGAATTTTGCCATAACACCAGCTTCAATAGCAGTATTCAAATGACTCCGTTTTGTGCGCTATGTGGTCGTGATCCTCCACCCATAATTCCTTATGAGCGTGGTGCAACCAATGTGCAGGCCTTGGATGATCAGCTCGCCGAGCGTGATTTATTAATACGTGAGCTTCGAGCGAATATACTCCAAGCTCAGAACCAAATGCAACAAAAGGCAAATGAGAAAAGACGTGACGTCGAGTATGAGGTGGGTGACTTGGTTCTCCTTAAGTTGCAGCCTTATCGTCAATATTCGGTAGCTCGACGTGCTTCGCATAAACTTGGTTGTCGCTATTATGGGCCATTTCGGGTTTTGGAAAGGATTGGTCAGGTTGCCTATCGACTTGAGCTTCCACGGGACTAAAAAATTCATATTGTCTTCCATGTATCCCAGCTTAAGGCTTTTAAGGGTGAAGCTCCAGCCGAAAGTAGCACGTGACCTGCTTATGTTCCTGACGGGGGTTTGACAATTACTCCTCTTGCCATTCTGGGAGAAAAACATGTTTTGCATAATGGTCAGTTGGAACGCATGGTGCTAGTCCAGTGGCAAGGTCTTCATCCTGAAGAAACAAACTGGGAGTTAGTTTCTAGAATTGAAAGTGAGCTGCCACAACAACACCTTGAGGACAAGGTGTAACACCTCGAGTTTTATTAATAAAGGAAAATACTAGCTTTTGATTTTAAGCTAGCCTTTGTTAATAAATAGTCATGTTCATGTTCAAGTTCAAGTTATTCAGTTAAATTATATTTCAACTTCGACTATTAGTCGATAAATTATTCGGTTTAATTATTTCAGTAACCGAATAAGTTTCCAGATTTAATTCCGATTCATTTATTAATTAATGAGTTCGGAATTAATAAGTCAAGTTGACGAATTATTCGAAATATCAATATTCGGATTAATCGTTCAAGTTAAGAATTCGAAATTATTATAGTTCGAATTAATTATTTCAGTCGAGATTACCCGAAATTATTTTCGATGTTCCGTTTACGTTCGGAATAATTTTGGTAATTAAGTATTATGCTTAATAATTAATTAAGCATAAAGTGATGATTAATGAATAATTAATCATGTGCAAATGATTAGTCCGTAGCAAGAGGAGTATTTTTCCCCTTTATTTTCTTTTTGCTGTGAGCAAATTTAGTGGGAGAATTTAGGGATAAAGTTTCATTTTTAAGAAGCATGAGATGGCATAATATAAAAGCCTAAGTGGTGACTAATCCTTTTAGGAGGTGAGTAAGCAATTTAGGCCTTAGTTAAGTTGCAAATGTCATAAGCTCATTAAGCCATCAAAGCAACACCTCACTTCTCTATTTCTTTCGGTCAAGCATATATAAAAGGTTAAGTTGGGGAGAAAATTTTTCCCTTCATCATCCTAAGTATAGAGATTAAGAGAGTTGTGAGAGTTCTTCAAATTAGTACCTACCGCAAAGCTTATAGCACGCACACCGCACACCGCACGCCGAGAGCACCACACGCGCGCGGAAGCTTGAGTGGTCGAGCGTTGTGCAATTAGGCGAGCAAGCGGAGAGGTATTTTCAGTTCCCTTCTTGTGAGGTTAACAGTAGTATCATGTTCAGTTATACTTTGATAATAGAGTTCCTATGGTAGCCAACTGTTGCTTGCGGCCGTGCGTGTACCCATCGGGCATGTTCATGTTTTGATTGTAATCTCTCGAGCTATTGTCATGTATTTAGTCATTTCATGATTTGCCATGTTCAGTCAGCTTATATTGTTCGAGGTATTTTCATGTTGGTTCGGTGATTCGGCCAAAGGGCGTGGTCGCGCATTGATACGGAAGTGGGTTTCGAGGCCCGACGACAAGAAGGGCCAAGAGCCGAGACAACCCGATGAGGCCGGAAAAAGAGCCAAAACGACGCATGCATGGCCTAAGAGACGGGTACGAGCTCGTATGCGAGGTCGCGCATGGAGGTGCGCAAGGCACGTGAGAAGATGGTCCATAGGCATACGACGTTCGGGCGCAAGAAAGGGCGCATTCAAGAAGGGCGCGCACACGCGCATTGGCGTAGACGCGCATGGCGCTTGGTGGTTACGCGAAGTGGCGCGCAGAGGGAGGTTGTTGGGTGGATGACACGCGAGGGGGGTTGCTGCAGATGGACGGGCGCGCATCGAGCGATGGGCGATGCGCGGGCATTGGGCGCGATAGGCGAGCAGAGCGCAGGGGCGCAAGGCGACATGCGCGAGACACAAGTCAAGATCGGAGTTGCAAGCCTAATCCTCGTAGGAATAGGCAAGGCGCGAATACTAATCCTCGCAGGAATAGTTAAAGCAGTTGAGTGCCGGAACGCGCGTGGGAGATCGGTGACGGGAGTAATCCTCGAAAGATCAGGAAACGTAACCAGGAGCATATTCCTAGTAGGAATAGGAATAGTGGATATGGACTCGAATCATTATCCTTCAAGGAATAGGAATAGCGTACACAAGGCTCGAGACTTTACTCCTCGAGGCAAGAGGATAGGCGGCCGTAGGAGACACGACCCTAGTCCTCGAGGACTAGGGCAAGGTGGCGCGGGCGGTGGGCATCCAAGAGGGCGGCTAGGGGTCTTGAGGGCGACTTGGAGTGCAAGCAAAGGAAGAGATTTGAAGATCAAGTTAATTAGGACTCTAGTATATTTACTTTCCTTATTGCTTTTATTTATTAGTAGTAGAAGATATTAGGAGATTTACTAGCATTAGGATTTATTTTATTGCATGAATTAGGAGATCTAGTTAGATTAGAATTAGATTTACTTTGCACCTATAAATACCCCATGTACTCTTCATAATTAGAAGTGGAGAATGATGAGTTGAATCTTGAATAGTCTTAGTTAGTAGTAGAAAATTCTGAACTTTTGTTCAAACACTTTGCTTTAGTTTTTCACCAAGAATCTATTACAATTTTATTCGTTTCAAGAGGCGCGGTTGTGTCTCGAGAAGCACCTATCGGTGATTCAAGGCGCGGGCTAACGGCTTATCGACAGTCGTGACACGCGATCTTCATCATTGGTGCTGTCATTGAGAGGTGATTAGATCGTGTGTCTTTTTCTTCCCCATTCTTTTTCTTTTTCTCCTTCTTATTTCGTTTCCCTATCAAAAAAGAAAAAAGAAACGAAAAAAAAATAGAGATTATTTGTTTTTCTTTTTGCGTGTGTGCGTGAGTGTTGTAAAAAAAGAAAATATATATCATCATCATCTTCAAGACGAGTCCGAAACGAAGGGTTCAACACCACCAAGATATCATTGGAGGATTTAATTGAGAACATCAATCGAAGGTTCGACGAGGTGGCGCACCACCTCCAACACCAAAGGGGATGGCCACCACCACAGCCGCCCGGACGCGAACGACCCCAGGAGCACAAGCCGAGCAGGACCAATGTTTCGAAGGAGTCGAGACCATGCGACAAGGCCCAAGGCAAGTCCAAGAAAGAGTCGGAGGTCGAATTGGTCAAGCACGATAAGTATGAGGTGGAAATTACGGTCGAGTTGGTCGAGTGCGAGAAACCGCATTCATTCAACAAAGAGGTTATGAGCGAGGCCGATGGAGTCGAGGACGAGGAGGGCCATGAAGAGGTTACGTTCGAAGTCCTAAAGGCCGAAGAGGAGGCGACGTCCCAACTTACTATCGATGCCAAGAGTAAAGTCTTAGTCGAGGAGGATCGTGAATAGGATGCGTGCGCGTTTAAAGAAGGAGTGCCTGAAGTTTGGATGTTCTATGATGAGTCCTTGAGGACAAGGACATTCTCAAAGGGGGCGGGAATGATACGGAAGTGGGTTTCGAGGCCCGACGACAAGAAGGGCCAAGAGCCGAGACAACCCGATGAGGCCGGAAAAAGAGCCAAAACGACACATGCATGGCCTAAGAGACGGGTACGAGCTCGTATGCGAGGTCGCGCATGGAGGTGCACAAAGGCACGTGAAAAGATGGTCCATAGGCATACGACGTTCGGGCGCAAGAAAAGGGCGCATTCAAGAAGGGCGCGCACACACGCATTCGCGTAGACGCGCATGGCGCTTGGTGGTTACGCAAAGATGCACGCAGAG